TTGACCTTGTGATCCACCCGTCTCGGCCTCCCAAAGTGCTGGGATTACAGGCGTGAGCCACCGCGCCCCGCCCATCGAGGCCTTTTGATGTTAAGAACTCACAAAGGGTTTTAGATCAAGGGTTGCTTAACTGAACGAACACCTCTGACATCAGCCAACAACCACATACTTGTTAAAAACTCTCCATCTCAGCTTCTCCCTGGACAAGAGAGGAACGGGTTGTTGGCTGTCTGTGGTGGTCATATTGATGGTGGGTTCAGCTGTGCACTGAATGTCGGTGCTGGCTGGGCTTGCTCTGGCTGGCACAGGTGTGAGTGGAGGAGCGCCGTGAGGAGCGGGAGTTGGTGCTGATGCCTTGTCACCCCTGGGAGAGCACTGAGCTCCATGTGTCTGAGTATGTATGTTGGTCCTGTGAGTCACTGCAGACTGTGCTAGAGGTGGCAGGAGAGGCATGAAGCATTAGATAGTCCAGGAACCAGGAAGGCCCCATGGACTGTAAGCTCCCAGAGTACGGGTATTGTTCTCATGTACCTTCAGACCCCCGCCTGGGGCAATGCCTGGCACGCTGGAAACCAAAACACCTATTTGTTAAATGTCAGCACCTGAGCCACACATGACAGTAAGCTGAATGAAGAAGGTAGTGCTTCAAGGGAGAGTAGTAAAGACGAAGAAAAGAGGGTCAGGCGCAGTGGCTCACGCCTGCAATCACAGCACTTTGGGAGGCCGAGGCGGGCAGATCACAAGGTCAAGTGATCGAGACCATCCTGGCCAACATGGTGAAAACCTGTCTCTACTAAAAATACAAAAATTAGCTGGGTGTGGTGGTGCATGCCTGTAGTCCCAGCTACTCGGGAGGCTGAGGCAGGAGAATCGCTTGAACCTGGGAGGTGGAGGTTGCAGGGAGCAGAGATTGGGCCACTGCACTCCAAGCTGGTAACAGAACAAGACTCCATCTCAAATAAACAAAGAAGAGGGGTCCTCAGAGCCAGGGATGGCTCACGTGGTTTCTGGAGAGTGAATGCGTCAGAGTCAAATCCAGACTCCAAGGGCTAGCATCGAAATAAACTGTGATGTGCAGACAGGCCTGCACTTACAGCTGCCTCCTTTCTGTGGCACTTCTTCCATATGATTGGGTTACAAAAATATTCTAAATAAGCAATTGATTGCAGCTTCTTGAAACCAAACAGTTTGGTGCCTTGAAAGCATAAGCCACTGGTTATGTGAAAACAGAGGAAACTGTATCTTTGCATATATTGGGGCCCAAATACATTTCATTTGCATAAATGAACACTTCCTGGTAAAAACTTGGGGGTGGAAACCTTCTGGTCTGTGGGAGAATGTGAACCTCTGGATGGATAATGGCTCTTTGGCTTAGGGTGAAAAATCACATACTGGTGTTAAGAAGTCTAGCCATAGTCCACACTTTAACCCTCTGGGACCTGTTCATCTGTAAACTGAGGTGGTGCTCTGTTCTGGAACGGTCCCTAAAGGGCCTTTGCAGGTCCTAAGCTCTGAGTTGTGATTAGAACCTCTCCGGCCCTGTCATTGAGAAGGACGCCCGAGGCAGGCCTCATGTGGCTTGCATCACTTCCTCAAGGAGACTCGATCAGCCTTCACCGCCCATGCTTCCCGCCATTGTGACTGTCTGTGTCTCTGTCCTGAGCCGCTCGCTGCTGCTGCAGTAGAAAGAGGCCTCTTATTAATTCATCGATTAATCAGTGCGTGCTGAGGAGCTGTTCAGGGCAGTGAAACAGGGAACACAAAACGCTAGAGCCTGTAGTCAAGACAGATCGTAATTAAGACAACCCCCAAACTGCTGGTCTTCCTGCCCCCTCCCCACACCATTCTCCCTGCCTACGCTCATCAAACCCCATTCAGCTCTAAAGGGGCTTCTACCCCATAAAAGCTGACAGTGAATTTCAGAAAGGCACATTTTCTCCCCAATGGCCTGGGGGTAAATAAGCCTTGAGATGAGTTTTGTCAATTATCTGCAACAACTGTTGAACCTCAGACGGTCACCCAGGTCCCCAAATGGCATAGTAGCCCTGTTCATATATGCACAGGCCAGACTCTCCAGTCCCAATTTCCCCATGAATGGAGTTACGGAGCTGGAAGGTCCTTACAGTAAGGATAGGCCGTGACCCTGTGTGGCAGATGAGAGGCTCAGTGAGATTCAGTAAGTTGCCCAAGGTCACTACAGAACTCCCAGGTCACAGGTGGCAGGACTGGAAACTCTGATCCTCAGCGAACACTCCTGGTGCTTGTTCCTCTGTGTGATCCTGCTTTCCTGTAACAATTAAAGCCAAGTAAAGCAGAGACATTGCTCCATTTAGTCCGTTTCCTGATTGTTGGGGTCCGGCAAGTCTGCCGGGGGGCTAGCGACCTGCTGGAGTCCCCGAGACCGCCAACATAGATGACTTGTTCAACCTGAGGGAGAGAGTGCGTGGAAGTGAAAGGAAATAGAAAAGTGGAGTCTGGAGGGCTGGCTTAGGCTATGTCCAAGCAGCAATTTTATTTTTGCAATACGTTTCATTATATACTTTTCTGAAGTCAAAGTTGTTTACGCTAGATCAACATACTTAAGTTACAGTAAGAAAGTTACGCCCACTAAGCTACGCCTAGTAAGCAAGTTAAGTCCAGTAAGTAGGTTACTTCCAGTAAGTAGGTTACGCCCAATAGGTCAAGGTAAGTAAGTTACGGTTACACCCAGTAAGTTATGGTAAGTAAGTTACTAAGCGTAAATACTTAAGTTAATATTTTATAATGAAGGTAACAAGGGTCCAAAATGAACACAATCAAGCAATAAACCATAAGGAGCCGAAAGTGGACACAATGCCTCCCAAGTCCTCATATCCATAAAGTAATGTCTGTTAATTATTTTGAATAACATAGTCCCTCTCTCAGTTCCCGCTTTCCCTCAGCTCGACTTCCCCAACCGGGGATCTGTGTCCGGGCTCAAGCTCACCGTATGGCGAGGCCCATTTCCTAGGGGCCTCACACGGGAGTGATCCCCACAGATCCTTCACCTGATTTCTTTTCGATATGGGCCTCTGAGCTAGATTTTCATTTTAAATATAAACATTGTTTAAATGTATATAATAATAATATATACATTATTTTGTAAGGTTTTCTTTCTGTGTTGCTCAGGCTGGTCTCAACTTCTGGCCTTAAGGGATCCTCCAGCTTCAGCCTCCCAAGTAGCTGGGATTATGGGTGCCAGCCATCACACCTGGCAAGATTTTTTTATTTTTATTTTTTTGAGACAGAGTCTTTCTCTGTCACCCAGGCTGGAGTGCAGGGCACGATCTCTCCTCACTGCAACCTCTGCCTCCTGGGTTCAAGCAGTTCCCTGCCTCAGCCTCCTGAGTAGCTGGGATTACAGGCATCCACCACTATGCCCAATGAATTTTTGTATTTTTAGTAGAGATGGGGTTTTGCCATCTTGGCCACGCTGGTCTTGAACTCCTGACCTTGTAATCCACTCACCTCAGCCTCCCAAAGTGCTGGGATTACAGGCGTGAGCCACCGCGCCCAGCTACAAGATGATTTTTGTGAGGCACGTCTGGCTCTGCTGCTCAGGTGGCACGCAGTGGCACCATCATAGCTCACTGCAGCCTCAAACTCGCGTACTCTCACAATCCTCCCACCCCAGGCTCATGAGGAGCTGAGGCTGCAAGCGTGTGCCACAATGCCTGGCTGATTTTTAAATGTTTTGTAGAGATGGGGTCTTACTATGTTGCCCAGGCTAGTCTTTAAACTCCTGGCCTCAAGCAGTACCCCTCATCAGCCTCCCACAGTACCAGGATTACAGGCCTGAGCCACTGCCCAGCCAATATTTTTAAATAGTAGTTTCAGATGCAGTTTGAGGGGAAAAGTATCTTGGACTGTTTTGTTTTAGTGGGTTAGAATATCGGATACCCAGATAGAGACATGCCCAGCTTGCCAAGGGGCAAATAGTAAACATGAGTCAGTCTACACAGGTTTGCTGGCTGCTTTGCCTCACCCCCATCATGCCTGACAAACGTTTGTTCCTTCTGATTGAACACCCTGCAAGAGCCCAGGGAAGGCTGTAATTTTTTAGTGGATGTAAGAATAAGAGGCCGGGTGCAGTGGCTCACGCCTGTAATCCCAGCACTTTAGGAGGCTGAGGCAGGCGGATCATAAGGTCTGGAGATCAAGACCATCCTGGCCAACATGCTGAAACTCCATCTCTACTAAAATACAAAAAATTAGCCAAATGTGGTTGCGGGCGCCTGTAGTCCCAGTTACTTGGGAGGCTGAGGCAGGAGAATCGCTTGAACCCAGGAGGCAGAACCCAGTTGCAGTGAGTCAAGATCATGCCACTGCACTCCAGCCTTGGGGATAGAGTGAGACTCTGTCTCAAAAAAAAAAAAAAGTAAGAATGCTTAGCCAGGCGCAGTGGCTCACGCCTATAATCCCAGCACTTTGGGAGGCCAAGGTGGGTGGATCACCAGGTAAAGAGATGGAGACCATCCTGACCAACATAGTAAAACCCCGTCTCTACTAAAAATTCAAAAATTAGCCAGGTGTGGTGGCGTGTGCCTGTAATCCTGGCTACTCGGGAGGCTGAGGCAGGGGAATCGCTTGAACCCAGGTGGCGGAGGTTGCAGTGAGCCGAGATCACACCATTGCACTCCAGCCTGGTGACACAGCAAGACTCCGTCTCAAAATCAAAACAAAACAATGAGGCCAGAATACGAATGTTCTTGTTTGACCCGCCTGGCGAAGAGGATACTTAAAAGTCTTTTTTTAAATCTTCTTTTTAAAAGTTTTCACTATAAAATTCTTACATTTGTCAAAGGTGTTTATCAGAAGTAGAGGCTTTTCTGCCAGTATGGCTTCTCATTTCTGCTGATGCCAATCAAACCATCAAACTCCTTGGGCACAGCCAGGGCTTAGCTCGTGAGCCAGGTATCTGACTTGCACTGAGCAATCTTGAGTGATAGAATCTCCTTTTCCTCTGTTTCCATGTTCTCTAGGACCCTGCTTTCTCAGCTGTGATTCACGACAAACTCCAGGTCCCCAACACCATCCGGAAGGCGTGGAATGACCGGGACAACCGCTGTGACATTTGTGCCACTCACCTGAACCAGCTGAAGCAGGAGGCCATCCAGATGGTGCTGGCCTTGGAGCAGGCCGCTGGCAGTGAGCACTACGACACCTCACCCAGCTCGCCCCCACCGCTCTTCAACATCCCCACCCTGGTGGGGTCCCGGCATGTGGGTGGGCTCCAGCAGCCCAGGGAGTGGGCCTTTGTGCCCGCTCCCTATGCCACCTCCAACTACACAGGCCTTGTCAACAAGCACAGCAGCAAACCCAGCAGCCTTGGGGTCAGCAATGGGGCGGAAAAGAAGAGTGGGTCCCCAAGTCACCAGGCCAAGGCCAGCCTCCAGATGGACACCAGTCCAAGCAATGGGAACATCCTCAATTCAGTGGCCATCCAGGCTCACCAGTACCTGGAAGGCACCTGGTCCCTGTCGAGGACCAACGGGGTCACCCTGTACCCGTACCAGGTAAGTCACCCGTGTGAGCCAGGAAGAACAGGGCTGGCTGGAGTGAGAGCAGAGAAGTGGGTAGCACTTCTTCCTTCCTCTGCTTCCTCCTGGGAAGCCCGTAATTCAGAGCCTAACGTTTCCATGTGACCCCACAGAGTTCTCATCGATGTGCTCCACCCATGCCTGCCCGCTGTGGGCGGGTGCTGCTGTATCCTCCAAGCCTCCCACAGTGGCCCTTTCTCCGCCTCTCAGTGTCTCCTTCCTGAGAGACCCTGCTGGTCCAGGTGATGCCAGCGGCTTCTCAGCCAGCAGGTTTACCACATGGCATAGCCATGAAGAGGAGGGCCATGGAGATACTTGGAGTGGGGTCCAAGCCCCGACCTGTCCACTTATTAGCAATGTGATCTTGCACGAGGGGTCTGCCCTGTCTCAGGCTCAAGTCCCCACTTAGACATGGATGTGAGTCATGAGAATTAAATAAGGTGTTTGCATGACATGTACCCCGATACCTGCCACACAGTAGGGGATTATGTTTGCGCCGTTAACAGAGATTTGAGATATTAAGACAAATGACTGAGAGGCTTTGGAAACAAAGGATATTGTGAGTCCCTGAAATCGTGATTTTAAAGCAACCCATGGGAAGCGCTGGGCATTGCGGAGAGTAAAACATACGAAGGCACAGCGGTCCATGCTGCACTCTGCTTCCTCTGTCCAGACCTTGTAAAAGAGGTGTAGACGCCCTTCCTAACCTCTCCTCCCTTCACAGACCCGAACTCTCTTCTGTTTGCAACTCACCTTAAGAACTGTTGGGACTGGGCTGCCAAAAGCACTTTTTCCTTTTCAGTTATTTAAATTAGCACATGCCCCCAACTTTCCCTATAGATATTGAAAACAGATCTTCAATTTCCTAGGGAATCTTTAAAGATGTTCTAATATTGCCTGGGTGAGTTTTCTGTTGGCTGAGGACTGGATTTTTAATGTAAGTGGCCCCTATGTCCCCTGCATCAGTGGTGGAGAAGCAGCGGCGAGCATTGATGGTCACTGGAGTGAAGGGGTGGCCACGGTCAAGGTTGTGTTATTCAGAGAAGTGGTTGGTACATACAGCACGTCATCCTGAAGACCTCAGGTTCTCTCTCACTTGGGTCTGTGTCATAGTGGGTGTTTGGTGGGTGGCCTTTGCTGCGACGTGGGGACACAGACTTCTTCCACCAAATGTGTCACCAGGGGCCTCGAGAGTCCTCCACAAGATCTTCTGTAACCAGCCAGGAAATAAGGGAAGAGAGAGTGTATGGAGGATCTCACAGGAGGATTTTGGGGCCCAGCTTTGCCTGAAAGGGATGTGCATTGCTTACATCTATATTCCAGTGACAAGAGTCCAGTCTCTGCTGGGCATGGTGGCTCACACTTATAATCCCAGCACTTTTGGGTGGGTGGATTGCTTGAGCCAGGTGTTGTATGCCGACTTGAACAACATGGAGAAACCTCATCTCTACTAAAAATACAAAAATTATCCAGGGATGGTGGCATGAACCTGTAGTCTCAGCTACTTGGAAGGCTGAGATGGGAGGATTGCTTGAGCCCAGGAGGCAGAGGCTGCAGTGAGCCGAGATTGCACCACTGCACTCCAGCCTGGCTGACAGAGCAAGACTGTGAATCAGTAAAAAAGAAGAGAGAGAGAGACAGACAGACAGTTTCGTCTCTTGACCCCGCCTTCCCACCGGGGAAGCTGGGGAAGCCAATCTACCCATGAGCCCAGGAGAAAAGGGAGCAAGTCGAGGGAACACGTAGCATAGTGTTGTTACGTGGGACAAAGGTCCAGGGATTCGAGAAGTGAGTTAAATGCGTTGATAAAAATCCTGGTGATGTTTTCTGGAGTGTTTGAGAGTGCGTGTGTGTCTCTTGCTGTCTTGAAAGAAAGTGGGAAACATTGAGTATCATCCTAATATGTTAGCATTCTTGGATCGTCCAACTCTTCATGTCACTGAGCGCTTTCTAATTTGAGGAACAGAACATACACATTATTTCATTTAACCCCGGTAGGCGTATGAGGTAGGCGGGGCAGGTGTGGGATCTCCTTTTGCAGACAGGGAATACGATGCTCAGAGACCCTGAGTGACTGTGGCCATGCAGCCAACGGCAGGATCAGCTCCAGCCCTCGCCCAGGGAGTGCCTTTACCTACCACGCCTTCTTCCAGCTTTCCTAGGCTACCCCCGCATCAGCTGTCCACATCTTTTCCAGATACGGTTCCTGTTCAGACAAAGAAAAGGACTAGTTTTACCTGCAGGGATCTCATCGCCCCCAGACTTTTGGATAGAATTATCCGGGTTGTGTGTATAAATATGAGGGACCAGTGGCGTCCTGGGAGAGGCTTCGCGGTCTGATCTCGGAAGTGACCGTCTAGGGCAGGAACAGAGAAGGGCTTCTTTGCATTATGGGATGATCTGCTTATTGTGTTGTGGTTCGCAGTTTTAAAATATACTGTTTAGAAAATTATAAAAAGTTACATGTTGGTTATAAAATAAAATTTAAAATACATGAAAAAGTTTAAATAAGACTTTAAAAGTCGATGTGGCCCGGATGAAAACTATGTAACATCTGGGTGTACTTCCTCCTAATATTTCACACCTGGCAATTTGTAAAATTGTGAGCAGGTTCAATTTTGTGATACATTGGATACGTTTCCCCATGCCCTTATATGTTTTCCTAAAATATTATCTCTAGCAGTAGCATATTTCATTGTATCAATATCATCTATGGCAATGTCCTAATTAGGTTGGTGCAAAAGTCATTGCGTTTTCTGGCATTACTTTCAATGGCAAAAACCGCAATAACTTTTGCACCAACCTAATACATACCCAAACACCAATTAATTATAATTCGGGTCTTTGCTACTATAAATAAAATGCTCAGGTAAACATCCTTTTACCCAGGCCATATTTTCAACACATCCCTGGGTTGTGTGAGCCACATCCTCATGTTACACAGACAACTCACATTTCACCTTCCACGACTCCAGTGCTCTTGAAGCACGTGGCCGGGGCCGGTCGGAAGACTCAGCTGCTGTACCAGATGGAACTGGTGCTTTCACGGAAAATGTTCAAAGTGCAGTGAGAGTTTGTGTAAGGCAGGGACACTGAAGATGCTGCTTAAAAGGCCAATGAGGCATTATTGGTGTGTTTCTTTTCTTTGTGCAATGATTCTATTCCTCCTCTTTTCCTTTTTCTTTTTTTTGAGACAGAGTTTCACTCTTGTTGCCCAGGCTGGAGTACAATGGCGTGATCTCAGCTCACTGCAACCTCCACCTCCCAGGTTGAAGCAATTCTGCCTCAGCCTCCCGAGTAGCTGGGATTACAGGCATGCGCCACCACACCCAGCAAATTTTATGTTTTTAGGAGAGATGCGATTTCTCTATGTTGATCTGGTTGGTCTTGAACTCCCGAACTCAGGTGATGGTTGGCCCACTTTGGCTTCCCAAAGTGCTGGGATTACAGGTGTGAGCCACTGTGCCCTGCTTATCCCTGCTCTTTCTTCCCAACCTCAGATGAAAGAGAATTTGCTGTACAAGTGTCTAGCCAAGTGCCAGGCACTGCGCTAGGTGGCAGGTGGGGCTGCAGCCTCGGGCTGGAAATCCTGGTTCCTGTCCTGAGGTCCTCACGGTGGGGGAGGAGCCAGGTGAGTGCAGAGGTGAAGAGATGCCCACTGCTTTGGGAGCATGCAGACAGACTCATAATCCAGCCTGCTGTGGCAAAGCCAGATAAACCAAGATTCACACAAGCCGCCAACTTGCAGTCATCCTGGGTACATTATATTTCTTCTTTCTAACTCCAGAACAGACCAATTCATGCATTTCCCCTGAGTAATAAAGGGACCAGAGGAAACCTCTGTGCGATAAAGGGATTTGGTGCCTGGCTATGAATCAGTATGAATCCACGTCCCCTGTTTTGTGACTGTGTCGTCCCAATGCCCTGGGGTGGGGGCTCTGGGTCTGGCCAGACTGAGTGTCTCCTGTCGCAGACATCTCCCTGCAGTAAATATTCTGCAGTTCGCAGTCTAGCCAGCTCGTCAGAGATGGTTGACTGCTCTGAGAGCTGACCTCATTTTTCCTGCTCACCCATACTCCCACTTCCCTCGCCACAGAGTAGATGGCCTCTGGATCAGTGCCAGAGCTGTTTTCCCGGGCAGAGAAGCATCTAGACTTTGTCACTACCAAGGGTGTGGCTCCACACCCATAGAACCCGAGCCTCTAGAAATGAGAGAGAAGACAACTCTGCCCTTCTACAATTTAGATGTAGCCAGGATGAAACGACACAGACAGGCTTTCCAACATAGAGCCTGGTGAAGCCTGCGTCACATGGGTGATAGAGCGGTCCCTCACTTCCTCTTACCCACAGCACTGTGTAATCATCTCCGAAGGCTGCAGTAGGAAGATTCTTGATTCTCTTCTGCTGTATCCTTCACGTTTCTAAAGTGCCTCCAGAAAGACCAGGAACCTGTAAGCATCACAGATAAATAGAAATCAATCCAGAGAGATTTTTAAAAGAGCAATTTAGGAAGTACTGAGCTTACATCGAAAATGCAGCACAAACCACAGAGATAATGCTCATTAAATATCTTAGAAAATTGATGTAGTAGAAGATAAGATGAGCTTTCAGAGAAAGACTTTTTGTTAATCTGCAGACATTTATCATAATCTGTGCATACTTAGAGAAAGCAGAAAATTCTCTAAGAACAGCGGTCCCCAGACCCCTGTGACGCACCCCTTATGAGAATCTAATGCCTGATGGTCTGAGGTGGAAACGTTTCATCCCATCTCTGCCCCCTAATTGTCTTCCATGAAATGGGTCCCTGGTGCCAAAAAGGTTGGGGATCACTGCTCTAGAACCTTAATTTTTTTCCGACTTTTATTTTCTGTTTGGGGGTACATATGCGGGTTTGTTAGGTGGGTGAATGATTTTGCCACCCTGGTGGTGAGCACAGTACCCCGTAGGTCGTTTTCTATGGGGTATTCCTCCCACCC